CACACACACACACACACACAGACACACACACACACACACACACACACACACTTTTCCCAGTGAGCTGCTTTGTTGTTGACTGTCTACACATGAAAAGAACCTCATAAGTGAACGATTTGAAATGCTCTACACAGGCAGTAACCCCACACACCACACAAATACAGCTCCTCGTGTAAGAGTTTAGCATTAGCATTTTTGCTAAGTTAACCTTGGTTGACATGTTGCTAAGTCAACAACAAAAGAACTCCAAAGAATAATTGTATAGAACACACATATATTTGGCTAAATGCAATTTTCAGTACAAACTGAATGTAATGTTTCATGACACTTAGTTGCGATTTAATTAAATGTATTACAGTTTAAATTTATATTAAATGCAGTTTGAAATTAAGCAAGACTTTATATGTAATTTCATAATAACATATTGATAATTACATAAACTACTGACTTTGAAATATGGTTAAAGTTTATTGAAAAATAGACTGTCAAGCATTGCAAACTAAAATATACATTAATGTTATTTCTATTGAAACGTGTGTGCAATGTATTCAAGTATGTTTGTAATTACATATTTGTAATGATGAGGTTACAATGTTGTCCATTTAAAGCATGACAATATATATATATATATATATATATATATATATGCACATTGTACACATTGAATATATACTGTATAGCCTATATATATATCTTCTTTTTCACCAGAGGCTGGTTAAACAGCTTATCCAGAAAATCTGGTGTGTTTTATTTCAACAGGATATAAAACATTTTTCTCTCCTCATCTGGCATTTCGGGGGCATTATTTTCTCTGAGCTCATGGCTAAGCATTTTTGGATCTCGCTACATGCAACAGTCATGAATATGCCTTAAAATGCCGTCTTAATAGGCAGCTCACTAGTTTTTCGGACAGAGCCGATGTCTGAGAGTGTTTGGTTGTGGGTTAATGAGAAGAGGCTGCAGGTAGAACAGGAAGTGCTCTTCTGTCTGTCCCCCAGGCTGTCCTGTCTCGACTGAAGAGGTGTTAACTTAGATTCATTTCAGCGAGACGGACAGCTCAATCTCCGAGATGCTTAGCCCCAGGGCTTCACTCCCAGAGACACTCTCTCTCTACCCACAAAGCACTGCTCAGGAACAAGAGACAGAGCCCATCTATTTAAAAGCCATTATGATTCCCTTTATCACAACATATTATAACAGTGACCCCGGACACAGACGCTTTCACTCAGATCTGT